CGGTCTCTGGGCAGATTCCGGGAATCCCCTCCCCCGCTCTGCCCGGCAGGGCCGCGGCGCCGGGAAGGGGGCCGGGATTTTCCCGGGCGGGCGGCTGCCTGGGCCCGGAAAACCCCAGGCCTGGGTCCAGAGCGCCCGCGGTGGGCGGGCTGCTCTCTCCTGGACACTAGGAGCCACCCCCGAGCCTCCCTCAACGGGCTGGCGCCTGGGCCCCGCCGCGCCCACGCCCCCTGTCTGATCTGACCCGGGCGAAGGATTGCCGCTGCCTCTGCGCGGTTGCCGACGCCGTCCCCCACAACTCCCGCCAGGAAGGGCGGCGCCCGCCTGCCAGTTTCCCCTCCCGGGTGCCAGAGCGGGGCGACTGCCAGGTCCGGTCCTGCCAGGGCGGCTACTTGGGCCTCTGGGCGCCACCACCACCCTTATGCCATGCCCCCTGTTCTACAGCTGGGACCTGGGAGGAGGCGGGAACTGCTGGAGTGCCCCGGTAGGGCCTGGCTGGCCTGGAAGTTGGAACCCTCCAGAGCAAAGAAACCAGGTCATTGCGGCGGGGCTGGCAGAACAGACACTTTCGTTAATCCATGTATAAATAAATAAATACAGGAGGGGGTGTGTGGCTCAGTGGTAGAGCACTTGCACAGGAATGAGAGAAGCCCAGGGTTCCAGTCCCATCACCACTAAAAAACAACACCACACACACAAGAAAAAAAAAAGAAAAGAAAAAGTAGAAAAAACTCCAAGGGAGATGATTGACCCTTTTTTTTATTTTTAATTTTTTTTAGAGAGAGTGAGAGAGGAGAGAGAGAATTTTTAATATTTATTTTTTAGTTGGCGGACACAACATCTTTGTTGGTATGTGGTGCTGAGGATCGAACCCGGGCGGCACACATGCCAGGTGAGCGCGCTACCGCTTGAGCCACATCCCCAGCCCCGATGATTGACCCTTAATACTGCCTGACTAGCAGTATTACTAGAGGTATATAGGTTAAATGAGCATATTAGCCTTGTTCTTTGGAAAGAAATGGGGGGCTCAGAGTGACAAAGCCACTAGCTTAAATACATGCATCATCAAAACTGCACCCCCTGGGAACACTGCTTTACTTCTAATGTCTGCCTCCTAAAGTAATGCTCGCCCTCCCACAGCAGGAGTATACCAACAGCCCTTCCTTGGGACTGGGAATGGAACTCAGGCTCCCACTGCTGGTCCTGCTTTCAGGACTGGGTTCCCACCTTCTTCCCCCATAAGACTGGATTTAACAGGAATTCTTCCAGTTCTAGTAACTGTTAACTGGGCCTTAAGTAGAGCCTGGTGCTTAGAACTTCACATACTTTTAACTTGCACAGTCATCTGGGCTGGTAGTCTTCCTTCCCAGGGAAGAGCACAACTGTTAAATGACATCTGAACCCAGACTGGCCGATGGTATGGTATCGATGCTGAAATGCATGGCCACGTGGCAGGATGTAGGGTGTTCTGAAACCTATCCCCCCTCCTAGGGGCACCAAGCATCCTCCGCTGCCCTTTGGAAACTTCTCAGGCAAGGAGTCAGCAGTGCATGAAGTAAGGCCGCCACCTTGTGGTGAAAATTAGTAAACACAGGGTCGGTTTTCCAGGGTGCAAGTGCCAGTCTGATAAAACACACCAACACAGAGTCATATCTGTTCCTAACACTTTATTGGTCACCTATATACCTGTACCCAGTTGGATAGAAAGGGGTCACTATTAACCAGATCCCATGTAGGGGATGAGAAAGTGGAAAGCCTTGGCCTAGTTTACCAGCCCTCCCCATACTATGGAGTTTGGAAGGGGCAGGTCCTGCCTTTCTTGGGTCARCACAGAGCACCCAGGTAGGGGCACAGATGGAATCCAAGGACACAGGCTCACTGCCCGTTTGTCAGCCTAGTTGTGCTTGGAAAAATATTCCTTGCTGTCATCCACGTTGGGCTTGATTGTGTCACTGCCAGGCTTCCAGCCAGCGGGGCAAACTGTGGAAAGATACAGGGATTCACACATGAGACTAAAGCCCCATAATCAAGCTCAGGGGACGAACAGAGGGCATGCCAGATCCTGGATTGCAGAAGACAAAGCTAGAACCAAGTGGTCCAGGCCCAAGAATGTGCACATTAAGAGAAGCCCCTTCAAGCTCAGCTGCAGTGTCTTCTAGCTGACATTTTCCTGTTCTAGCCTTCACTTTTTTTTTTTTTTTTTGCCCCCTTAATCCACTTCTCCCTTGGCCCTAATGGACTTGGGGAACCTGGAGTTGGGTTTCTCTTCCACATAAGAAGATACTCTGGGTCTGGGGATATAGCTCAGTTGGTAGAATGCTTGCCTTGCATGCACAAGGCCCTGGGCTCGATCCCCAGCACCAAAAAACACAACAAGATACTCTGATCAGGCTGGGGTGTGGCTCATCTTTGCCTAGCATGTGCAAGGGCCTAGGTTCCATCCCTAACACCACAAGGGGGTGAGGGGAAGGTACTCTAATCTTTAACATGCCTTCTCAAATGACTTTTACAGATCTCTATCACCTCCTCCCAGCTGCCTGGTCTTTTTTTCTTTCTTCTTCTTCTTTTTTTTTTTTTTTTTGGTAACAGGGATTGAATCCAGGGGCATTTAACCACTGAACCACATCTCCAACCCTTTTTATGACAGGGTCTATCTAAATTTTTAGGACCTTGCTAAGTTGCTGAAGCTGGCCTTGAACTTTCAATCCTCCTGCCTCAGCCTACTGAGCCCCTGGGATTACAGGCTTCCGCCTAGCCTTGCTGCCTGCTCTTGTATTGGAGCATTTCACCTGACCTTACCCACTTCCAGGATGGAAACTTCCTGCAGACAAGGCCCTGAGTTGAATTTTCTTTAGGGCCCTAATATCCATTCCACAAGGTGCAGGGGCAGGCAGTGAGTGTCCGAGTGATTGACAGTGGAGCTAAGGTCATATTCATGCGTGAACATGAATGTGTGTATCCACTTACCTTCCCCATGCTCATCTGTGTATTGGAAGGCCTGGACCAGCCGCAAAGCCTCATCCACAGAGCGCCCCACGGGCAAATCATTAACAGTGATCTGGCGAAGGACTCCCTTGCCATCAATGATGAAGAGGCCCCTGAGGACATGATGGTTCATGATAAGGAGCTGGGAGCTCCCACTTCCAGGGCCAGGGAAGGGAACACCATCCCACTGCCTGGTCATCTTGGGGCCAGGGCTGGTGGTCTGGTCATCCTGGGGACAGGGCTCTCAGAAGTGGATTGTGCATCCCCTCCATACCTGTAGGCAATGCCCTCATCACTTTTCAGCACGCCATAATTATGGGACAAGCTTCTGGTCACGTCAGCAAGCAGGGGGATGTTCAGGGGGCCCAAGCCTCCTTCCTTCCGCGGGGTGTTGATCCTGGAGATAGGGGAGTCCGGGTTGGGACCTCAGGATGTCTGACAAAGCAGGGTCCTCACCCTATGAGCCTGGGAGTGATAAGGGTTGGAGTGGGAGTGCTGGAAACCACAGATAAGGGGCCTTAGAGAAGGTCCTGCAAGCCCCACCCGCCCCACCCTGGAGGTGTAGGGGCTGTATCCCCATAGCTGGGACAAGAATCCTGCCATGTCCAGCCAAGTGGCTTCATATGGCTGGAGCAGCAGCAGTAGAGAGCTAATGTCAGTGTCCCCATCCTCCTCTCGGTCTGTGTCCTGGGGCCCAGCCCTTCACTTGGTGAACTGGAGTTTCCACCTTCATGAAATAGGACAATACAGCCTGTCTTCTGAGAACTGAGAGAGATAAAGCATCTGCAACTTCACGGGCCATGCATCTAGCTGCCAAATGTTAATTACTGTCATCATCCATCCTTAAGGACTTAGGAGTCATTATTTCCATTCTTTTCTAGATGAGGAAAGGGAGGCCACAGGCTTGGCTCTACGGTGTGAGCTTGGCTGCATCCTCCCTCCCTGGTCCCTGCTCCTACCAAGCCAAGTGGGTGAACTGAGAGTCGACAGAGACACCCAGCACCTCGCAGCCCAGCTTGCGGAAGTCCTCAGCATGTTCGCTGAAAGCGATGATCTCCGTGGGGCACACAAAAGTGAAGTCCAGTGGGTAGAAAAAGAGGACCACGTACTTCCCTGGGGTCGAGGGAAACAGATGAGAAATTAGGACCCAGCCTCTCTGATCCGTGGGCCCCGCCCCCACCTGGACCCCCGCCAGGCCGTCTCACCTCTGTAGTCCGAGAGCTTGACCTCCTTGAAGGCACCATCCACCACCGCGGTGGCTGTGAAGTCAGGGGCGGGCTTTCCGATGTGCGCGTTTCCAGAGGCCATGACTGAAAGCCAAGACCCGCGCCGATCAGTGCACAAGGGAAGACCCTTTGTCCTCCCTTTCCAAGGTCACGCTGCGTGCTGGGCCCAGTGACGGAGACAGAGCAGAGGAGGCCGCGGCGCCCCTACTCACCCTCCCCGCTGCCGGTTCTACACGGCCGGGAGGCTGCCGGAGACCCGCCCCCTTAAGCAGAATAAAAGTGGCAGGGCCACTGTCCCTAGGCCCCACCAGTGAATGAGCCTGAGCGCGGTGGCGCAAGCCCCGGTCCAGAGGAGATGTCGAGAACCTCTGGGGCAGGGTGTGGGGAGCCCGGCTATCGGGGCGTACTCCAAGGCTGGGGCCTCAGTTTCCCTCGCAAGGACAAAGGCAGCCACTATGGCGGATGGAAAACAAAGGCGGCCAGCAGGGAGGTCCTGATAGGGCCAGAACTCAGGAAGGGGGCTCACCCCCATTCAGATGTACACCAAGTCTCCATACCTGCGTGTGCAAGAGACGGACACGCTGAAGAACAGACGCACCGACTCGAGTTCTCAAAGCCAAGTGTGCCCTGGGCCGCGGAGTCTCTTATGCACCGCCCGAACCGTGACGCGCAGGGCTGGGGCGGGGCTGGCGAGCCGAGCGGTCAGGTCCACTGCGCCCGCCAGGGAGGGGGAGCGGCGCGGCTGGGCCTTGCGCCTGCGCGGTGAAGGGGACAGTTCGGCCGCCCGCCGCCACCACTGCGCTAGCTTGTGGGGTAGTGCGTGAGCCGCAAACTAGTCGCGTGGCTGGGTCCCGGAACGCGCTGGAGACGGTTGGGGTCCGGCATGGCCCGGCACCAGCCGGCCTTGGTGCTGTTGCCTCTGATGCTCCTGGTGCGGACAACAGCTGTCCAGCTCTCCCCCGACTACCAGTACTTCGGCGACAAGGGAGAAGGTGACACCTGGGAGCTGCTGCGGCAGCAGCATCAAAAGGGTAATCGCAGGCGGCGGGTATGACAATGCCCCATGGCCCTACTTCTCCAGGTGGCTGCAAACAGACTCTCCCCCTCCGTGGCTTTCAAATCTTCGCCCAGCTCCGCACTGCCAGCTCCCCTGGGGCTGGTTACTTTTCTCCAAGGCCCAGTTTTCTTATCTGTAAAGTGAAGTGAACACTGCCTGAAAGCAGTTCACAGGAAGATCGGGCCTAGATAGGCGATAAACATGAAGACGGACACATCCATGAACTCATGGATAGGTGCTAGGAAGGGCAAAGATGGAGGAATACAGAAAAAAAAAAAAAATTGGCAACCAACGCAGCCAGAATGATAAACAAAAGCACGAAAAGCACAGATTTGGGGAGACAGTGTCTCAGGCAAAGGGAACAGACAGTGCCAAGGCTAAAAAGCCTATTGGAGGAAAGGAAAGGGGGAATGTGATGTCGCAGAGACCAGGCAAGCTAGGGCATGAGTGTCAAGCTCTGAGAGCTGGGAGTTGGGGTAAGGCCTGCTTCATAGCGGCACAGGAAAAAAAAAAAAAATAAAACAGTAAAGACTGTTGTAGGAGTGTGGGCCTTAGTTCATCGCAGAAGACTTGCCTAGCATGCCAAAACAATGTTGTAAAGGACATCTTAATAAGTTGGGGTTTAGGGGGTATCTCAGACCCTAAGACCCTGTGTTCCATCCCCAGCACTCCACCGCCGCCACACAAAAAGTTACATATCTCTCTCTCTCTCTCTTTTTTTTTTTTTTTGGTTGTGGGGAAGGACAGGATTGAATCCAGGGATGCTTTACCACTGAGCTACATCCATACATCCACAGCCCTTTTTATTTTGAGACAGGGTTTTGCTAAATTGCTTAGGGCCTGGCTAAGTTGCTGAAGCTGGCCTCAAACTTGCAATTTTCCTGTCTCAGCCTTCTGAGTGGCTGAGATTGCTGGCATGTTCCACTGCCCCACTATTTATAGCTTCTTTCAAAGTGATCATGATAATTATTTTGGTTCTTCATCAGGGGCTTTAAGTACCTTCATTATGTCAATTATGTCATTTAATTTACCACCTGTCAGCCCTGCTGGTAAGGTGGCATTGTGCCTGTTAGATAGGCCTATGATCAAGCCTCTGAGGACAGGAGTCAACTTCTCAACTTCGGATGGCAGGCACCAAGGGGTGTCTATACTCCCACTGGGCAAGCTGGCACAGGTTAGAGATGTCAGTTTTCAGACCCTCTGGGCTCACCAGATGTGTAACCTTGGGAGAATGAATCTCTAGGTCTCAGTTTTCTCACCTGGGACTAATGGGAAGACTAAAAGGCATACAGGCAGAGCCTGGCAAACTGCCTAGCAAATATGAGCCGTTGTTTGTTAGTATAATTATCTTTGTGCCTTCCTGGAGGCACCCCTACCTGAGTCTTCATCCCTATCTTTAGTCTTGGAGGATTCGATCCTGGGCCCCTGGGGAAAGTGGCACTGTTTCTGCAACTTGGGCAAACAAGAACGCAGCCGAGAGGTGCTGGGCACAGCTCCAGATCCCATGGTGTTCATGGATCGAGAGAACCTGGTCCAGGCGAGGCCCTGCAGGCAAAGGGACTGTCCATCCTGCAAGCCAATGGACTGCAACTGGAGGCCCTGAACCCAGGTGAGAGACTGGCATAGAGGAGGCAGGCAGGGGCAGAAGCAACTGGCAAGGCCATGGGTCCCAAAGGAGGGGAGGGAAAGAGGAAGGGAGGTGCTTGTAGAGGGTATGAGGCTGGTAAGAGGAAGGAGATAACTGGGGCCCTAAATCTGAGTCTTGAGGCCAGTAGGGAGGGGCGAGCTGAGTCAAGACCTCTGAGTCAAGAGCCTCCAGGTGGGGTGGTGCACCCAGTAATCCCAGCAACTTGGAAGGCTGAGGCAGGAGGATTGGGAGTTCAAAGCCAGCCTCAGCCAAAGCGAGGCACTAAACAACTCAGTGAGACCCTGCCTCTAAAGAAAATACACAATAGGAATAGGGCTGGGGACGTGGCTCAGTGGTTGAGTTCTTGCCTAGCAATGTGTGAGGCCCTGGGTCTAATCCTCAGCACCACATAAAGATAAATAAAATAAAGGTAATTGTGTCCATCTACAAAACAAAACAAACCAAACAAACAAACAAACAAACAAAAAAAAACAAAAAAGCCCTCCCTGATGTCCAGGAAGAAAACAAAAAGGTGGTGTGCACTGGAGGGATAGGGGAGATGGGGAAAACTAGGAAATTGATGGAGGCGCATGGCTCCGATGAGCAGGAACCCACAGGCAGAGGACATGAACCCTACAGAGTCCAAGGGATAGAAGGAGAGGTGTGGCAGGAGTGGCAGAGGGGCCTGGGATGGGAGAGCAGAAGAAAGGGGGGTGATGGGTTGAGGAGGCCTGAGACTCTATAAGCAGGAATCTGCTGTTGTGGATCTCCATTAGGAGTAGGGGAGGCTTGGCCCTAATTAGAGTAGGAGGCAGAGATCCTGGTGGCAGGGGGGATACAAGTTAACGGCCGAAAGTGGGAGTTTAGGGACTCCAACTTGGAAGGCCTGCCCGAGAAACAATGGGAATACATAGTGCAGGAAACACAGTTTTCAGAATGCGTATATAAGGGCAGGAACCGCGAGAATAAGGGCCCAGTGGTGCGGAGAGCAACGGACTGGGAATGATATTTGGCCTTCTTTGCCCCAAAACAGTCAACTGAGCTGCGCCTCAGTTTCCCCTTTACTTTCCTCTTTTTTCAGCAGCGTCCACGAGCAACGCACAAGAGACCCCGGGGCGGAGCTCGGAAAGTGACCTGGTGCAAAGCACACCCTCCGTTGCCTCCCGTGGGGACTACAATTCCCAGGAGGCCGCACGGCAGCGGCGTCGGCGCTGCATGCGTAAACGTCCGCGCCGGCGGGAGCGTCGGGGGCGTGTCCCGCGCGCTGATTGGTCAGGATACAGCGCTGCTGTGGAGCCCACGGCAATCGCGCGCCAAGGCCAGCGCCTGCAGCGCTCCTTTTTGCAGCTGGCGGCGGCCGCTGAGGGGGTATGGATTTCAGCGAGTTGGAGAAAGACAATACAGGCCGCTGTCGCTTGAGCTCGCCAGTGCCCGCCGTGTGCCGCAAGGAGTCATGCGTTCTCGGCGTTGATGAAGCGGGTCGGGGCCCTGTGCTTGGTGCGTCCCTAGGGCCAGGGAAGGGGAGGGGCGTAGTAAGGGAAAGAGAGTCGCCCAGGAACCTGAGTCGGGATTGCATCCGACCTGGGGAAGTGAGATGACCATGAGTTATAGTGGGATGACCATGGCATCGGTGGTGGCACTGAAAAAAGCAGTGGTGATGGAAGAGGGCTGGTGGCTGACACGGACTCACTAGTTGGACCCTTGTTCCCAGAAATCTTGACATTTCTCCTCCCCAGGGCCCATGGTCTACGCCATCTGTTATTGCCCCTTGTCCCGCCTGGCAGATCTGGAGGCTATGAAAGTGGCAGGTGAGCCTGAAATACACTTCAGAGGACGGGGTTCCTGGGCATGTGCGGGGTGGGGGGAGCAGATGAGAAATCTAGGGGAAGAGCAGGAACTGGGAGAACAAGCTGCCCCCCTTTTCTCCAACTCCCCTCCCAGACTCAAAGACCATGTCGGAGAGCGATCGGGACAGGCTCTTTGCCAAAATGGAGGAGAACGGGGACTTTGTGGGCTGGGCTCTGGACGTGCTATCTCCAAACCTCATCTCTACCAGCATGCTTGGGCGGTGAGGGGTGCTTCAGAGGGGCTGGGGTGGAGGGGTAGGCCAGCATGGCCTAGGTGGGCCCTGTGGCTGGAATGGGTTTAACTGAGCTCTACCCACCACTGCAGGGTCAAATACAACCTGAACGCCCTGTCCCATGATACAGCTGCTGGACTAATACAGTATGCGTTGGACCAGGGTGTGAGAGTCACCCAGGTGAGCTGACTGTTGGGTTGCCTCTATTTAATCATCTTTGGATGAAATGGAGGTTACCAAGTGCAGTGTGGCCTGGGGGTGGAGCTCAGTGGTAAGAGTATGCCCTTAGTATGTGCAGGGCCTTGAGTTCAATCCCCAACATCAAGAAAATAAAGAGATTATAATTGTTTTAAGAAAAAAGAAAGTGCAGTGGACAGATTCAACATCAGATCATCAGCAGTGCCTCAGGCATATTCATTGCTGCCACTGAATCCCTGCTCCTGTTCCTGACCTAAATGTGTGCTCCATTCCTGTCTAACCTGAACCCCTATTCTAAAGGTCTAGAACGAGTCCCACGTCTGTCCATCTTCCCACAGCTTCTGTCCTAGCCCGGTGTACCCTCTGCAACCTGGAAATCTGCCCTGCTTCCTCCCTGATTCCCCCACCTTCATCCCCTTCCTCTCCAATCTGTTCCCCACACAGCAGACGGTTGTCTTTGTGAAATGTAAATCATGACATTTAATTTTATGATCACAGTGGAAATTAAATCAGGAAAATTGAGTCAAGTGGGGGAGAATGAGATTAAATTATCAGAGAAAAACATAAGTCAGCATTGCATCAATTGCTCTGAGTCAAAGACGGTAGGCTTTGTGAGAATTACCAGGGGAAATAACTCTGACACAGGAAATATAGCAGGCAGACTTTGCTGAGGAAGTGGCTGAGGCCCCAACCCTGAATGCAGAGCTGGTGGGTGATGCTATACTTAAGGTTTCAAGGCTTAATCTGGAGAAACAGATGGTCAGCTGGTACACAAAAAGTAAATATGATTTCTGAAAATGATAATTTCCATAGAGGCACCACTTGAACCATCAGCTCCTTGACCTCACTTCTATGCTTCAACCATGGAGCCTCCAATCAGTTGTTCAGCAACATCCACATGGTTCAACCTCAGGGCCTTTGCACTGGCTCTTTCCTCCTCCTGGAACACTCTTTCCCAGATCTCCACATGGTTTATTTCCTCACTTCAAGTCTCTATTCAGATATCACCACTTTAGATCTTCCTTGTCAGTATTTAAAATTATAACCCCTTTAAACTTTTTCCTGTTCTGTACTTATCCTGGTTTTTGTCTTTGCCCTCACCAAGATTTTCACCCAACAAAGGTTGAGATTTTTCTGTAGTTTGTTTACTGCCATGTCCTTACTACGTACGACAGCATCTGGCATGCACTAGGTGCTTAATAAGTGTGCAGTGTCTGCAGCATGATCAGGCAAAGCCTTTTGTGTGTGTGTGTGTGTGTGTGTGTGTGTGTGTGTGGAGGGGTGCTGAGGATGGAACCCAGGTCTTTGTGCATTCCAGGCAAGCACTCTTCCACTGAACTGCATCCCTAGCACCAACAAAATACCTTTTACATTTAATAAAAGTCAGTGTCAGTCTGGGAAAAGGGCTCAGTGGTAGAGCACTTTCCTGGCATGTGTTAGGACCGAGGTTCCGTTCCCAGCTCCCTGAGGAAAAAGGAAGAAAATGCTTGTGGGAATTGAAAACAGCAAGTCCAATGGCTGAGAGGTTGGATCCTTTGCACAGTTGTTTTTCCAGCTGTTTGTTGAATGAGAACATTTCTGTCACCATGATAGGTGTTCGTGGACACAGTGGGGCTGCCAGAGACATACCAGGAGCGGTTGCAGCAGCGCTTTCCTGGAATTGACGTGACAGTCAAGGCCAAAGCAGATGCCCTCTACCCTGTGGTCAGCGCTGCCAGCATCTGTGCCAAGGTCAGCCCCCCCACTGACCGTGGATGATTTCTGGCGTCTCTCTGGGGGGGACCAGCCTTGGCTCCCCTGGGGGAAGGAGATTCCAAGTTTCTGTCCTGCCTGCAGGTGGCTCGAGACCAGGCAGTGAAGAACTGGCAGTTTGTGGAGGACCTGCAGGACCTGGATGCTGATTATGGCTCCGGCTACCCTAATGGTGAGCAGATGGCAGTCAGGCCTGCTCTGCAGCTGCCCTGAGACCCCCCACTGTGGTGGTGAACACTGATGGTAGCTGTGTCGAGCACACTGCTGAAGGTTTCTAAAACGTTCTGGCCGCTCTGCTCCATAGCAGAAGAGGCTGAACCCCAGACACTGTACGTCTGATCAGGGCCTCGTGGCCAGTGAGTGGCAACTGGATTCCAGCTCATAGGCTCTCTCCTCCCCTCCCTCATTTTGCTGTCTGGAGCCCCAGAGAGTGGGAGACTGAGCTGGGCGTGGTGATGCACACCTATGATCCCAGGGACTTGGGAGAGTGAGGCAGGAAGATCAAAAGTTCAAGCCAACCTCAACAACTTAGCGAGGCCCTAAGCAACTTTGTAAGACCCTGTCTCAAAAAAGGGGGCGCTAGCGATGTGGTTCAGTGGTTAAGTGCCCCTGGGTTCAATCCCCAGTACCTGCCACTACCCCTCCAAAAAAAAGGGCGGGGGCTGAGACCAAAGGTATCTGCTTGTTAAGGGGAAGGAGGCAGGAATGGGGGTCCTGGCTCAATCCTGTGGCCTCAGTTTATATCTGTGATCTGTGCTGTTCTCTCCACCACGAGGCTCTGTGTCCTCATTATACAGTGAAAACAGTCTCACACACACCTTCCTGCAAACTTCATGCATGCATCAAGGGCAGGTGTGAGGACTCAGTGGCAGAGCTGGTTGTAGCTCAGGTAAAGCACTTGCCCCGCATTCACGGGCAGGGCTTTTATCCCTGCAGTGCAAACAGAAAGATACAGTGAAGGTTTGGTAGTTGGGTTCAAGGATGCCTCCTGTCCTTTTGAAGCTGGGTGGGGAGCAGAGCCCCTCAGGTGATTAGAAGTCAGGGTGCCTGGTACTTGCCATGTAGGGCTGAGCCCTGGGGATACAGCAGTAAGTCAAACATCTCAAGGCCCCACTGAGCTCCTGCCTGTGGAGAGAATGGGTGTTTCATTGTTGTCCTTGGGGGCCAGAGGCTATCTCAGAGGCAGTCTCAGCACTGCTCAGCCAGGCACAGAATGGGAGGGAAGGACCTGCCTGTGCCAAGGGCCTGAGGCACAAAATGCCCCAAGCACTCAGGAGGAAGTCAAAGGTGAGTGGACCTGGAGCTTGGGTGTTACCTTGAGACTTGGGGACTGCTGTCATTGCCTGTCCCACCCCCAGATCCCAAGACAAAAGCATGGTTGAAGAAACACGTGGAACCGGTGTTCGGCTTCCCCCAGTTCGTTCGGTTCAGTTGGAGCACAGCCCAGACCATCCTGGAAAAGGAGGCGGCAGATGTTTTGTGGTGGGTGCTATAGGAGGGTGGGTGCTATAGGAGGGTGGGTGGGAGGGCCAGGCCCCATCCCGGAAGTGGTCATGTCACTCTCTCCACAGGGAGGACTCCCCAGCACAGGACCTGGAAGGACCTGAGAGGATCACCGCCTACTTCAACAAAGGCTCCCGAGCCCGCCCCCGTGCCCCCCACAGATACTTCCAGGAGCGGGGCCTAGAACCAGCCACTGCCCTGTAGGAGGAGCCTCCTTCCTCCCCAGGCCTGCCTCCCCTCACCAAGGAGGATTAAAGTTGTTGAAGGACAAGCAAATGGAGGGGTTGTCCTTGGGGCCAGAAGTGGTATGGGAGTGACTTCAGCAGCCCGATGCAGCTGCTGCCTTTTGGGTAGTATTGGACTGATTTGATTTTTAAAATACAGCCCTGCCCTGGGACTGGGGGGTAGCAGTGGTAGAGCGCCTGCCCAGCACACACAAGACCCTTTCTTTGATTACCAGGACCAAAAGTCCTGTGCTGTGTAAGTGTGTTTCTGCATAAGGATGTTTCTCGAAGGGGACTGCAGGTACAGCTGGAAACTTCTCTCACCTAGTGGCCTCCCACATCGGCGCCCAGTACCTCACTCAGCTGTGTGGTGATGTTGGTAGAAACAGATGGAGGGCACTGCCAAGGGAGAAAAAAAATGCAGCACCAACTGGGCACAGTGGTGCCTGCCTATAATCCCAGGGATTTGGGAGGCAGGAGGATCACAAGTTGGAGGCCAGCCTCAGCAATTTAGCAAGAACCTGTCTCAAAAACTAAAAATGGCTGGGGGTGAGCTCAGTGGTAAAGCACCCTGCGTTCAATCTCCAGCACCAGAAAATGCATGCCTCAGTCTGATGCAGCTCACCTGTGGCCCCACTACCCGAGGCTGAGGCAGGTGGATCCCAAGTTCAAGGCCAGCCTAGGCAACAGCAAGACCCTGTCTCAAAAAGTAAAAAAGATTGGGGATTATAACCCAGTGGTAAAACACAAGGCTGGGCAGCATGTAGAGTGGCTGTGTGGATGTACTGTAAGGCCAAGGCCATTCCCAGCAGTCTGTAGCTGCTGCATCTTGGCTCCATAACCAGCATTCTCTCCCCCTCTCCTGGTTCCAGCTCCTGATTGTGCTTTGGAAGGAGCTGCTCCTTGCCCATTCCCGGTTCATGGGTTCAGGTGGAACCAAACCCCAACATCAGGCACCAACCCATAACCCAAAAGAGGCTAATGGCGCACGGCATAGTCTATCTTAGCCTACTAGGAAGAGATCCTGTCCAGAGGAGAGCAGGAAGACCCATCAATTAAGCACCAGGATATAGATAGCTATTCCTGAAGCCTACCAGTGTTTTTGGCACTGGGGTTTGAACCCAGGGGCACCTTACCACTGGGTTACATTCATAGTCTTTTTGAGACAGTCTCACGAAGTTGTTGAGGCTGGCCTCAATTTTGCCATCCTCATCCTGGCCTCCAGAGCTACTGCACTGGCACCACTGTTTTGTCTTGAGGGCACTTTCAACTGAATTTGACTCGCAGCTGAAAGAGGCCTGCTTGCTACCCCCCAATGGGACACTTCTGTTTGTTACTCTAGTCTTCCCTGAGGACAGGGAATAGGCCTGCAGTGTCTTAAGTGTATCACCTGGCACACAGTAGGCCTCTGCTAACCTTGCTCTGGCGAACATCTGAAAGGAACATTACTCCCTTTTTTAACAGGTGGGGAAATGGGTTCTCCTAGGGCCTGGGGATAGGAGTAATGTTCACGGCTGGTTGTGGCGGGTCATGCCTGTAATCCCAGCGACTCAGGCTGAGCCAGGAGGATTGAAAGTTTGAGGCCAGCCTCAGCAGTTTAGCAATACCCTCAGCAACTTAATGAGACCTTTTCTCAAAAATAAAAGGGCTGGGGATGTGGCTCAGTGGTAGTGCTCGACTAGCACAGATGAGGTATTGGGTTTGATCCTCAGAACACATAAAAATACAGGTATTGTGTTCATCTACAACTAAGAAAATTTAAAAAGGGTGGAGTGGTTAAGCACCCCTGGGTTCAATCCTGGGGCAGGGAGTGATGTTCACTGCAGAAATCCTAACCTGTGTCTAGTTCTTCTCCCTAGGCAGGACCTGGGATGTGGAGGAGGGGATTGCCAGACACTGTCGGGTCTGCGCGCTCAGAAGGGAAGACCATGAATCGGTCTTGTCCATAAATGTCAGGGGGCTTCTTGGCAGGCCTGGCAGCACACAGTGGAGGGCACACCTCTTGTCCTTGTCAGCTCCCCTTGTGCCCTCCTATGCCCATCCATGACACCTGGGTATTCTGAGTTGTAACAGCAATCCAGGATAGAGGCTGTTGTCAGTTACACTCTAGTGTCAATCAGCTGCTAGCTGTAGGTCCTGAGGATTAGAATTTGGGCACATGCCAGGAGCGGTGGCACACGCCTGTAATCCCAACAGCTAAGAAGGCCGAGGCAGGAAGATGCTAGTTCAAAGCCAGCCTCAGCAAGTTAGCAAGGCCCTCAGCAACTCAGAGATACTCTGTCTATAAAGAAAACACAAAAAAGAGGCGGGGGCTGGGGATGTGGCTTAGTGGTTAATTGCCCCTGAGTTCAGTCCCCAGTAAAAAAAACAAAAATCCTGTCACTTTGAGGCCATTCTCTGTTTCCCCAAGAAGGAGCCGTACCACGTGCTCTAGCGGGAAGCTTTATTTCAGGAGAGGGTAAAATTAGTTGGAGTTGGGTCCTTTCGTTTCTCGGATAACCTGAAGGGGGACCCTTCTGGGAGCCCCAGGGAAGGAGGGACAGGACTCTGGGTATTAGAAGGCAGGGAGGGGGCCGTGCCTAGGGAAGGGACGCCTCTTTTCTTGAAGGCCGGGCGCCCGCTAGGGGCCGCTGCCGCTTCCACTGCCACTCCCGCTGCCCCCAGCGTCCAGGATCCCGGTGCCACGGCGGCGGCGGGAGCGCTGGGAGACAGTTTCTCGGGCCCAACGTCCGGGTCTAGGACGCGGCAATAATGAGATGGAGATGTTGAGGCAATGACGGGAGCCAGGAGCTGCCACCGGCAGGATGTGACCCAGAACCGAGCGACAAAGATCCACTCCGTCAGCAAAAGTCTAGGAAGAAAGTGGCGTGGGCGCTTGAGTGAGCGGAGTCCAGATCTGCTGGGGGCGGTGTGGTCAGAGGCGAGACTTTGGGGAAGGACGATCTGGATGTTTCCTTGAGGTGGGGTTCGTGGGGACCTTGGAGTGGGTAAGTGGGTCTCTGGCTCCTCCAGGGCGGACTGCTGGCCAGCCCAGAGTCTGGGCTCTTGGGAGGCCATGGGCACATCCCAGTATGGAGGGGAGGCTGAAAAGGGGGAAGGGTGGGAGCAGGGTCCTTGCAAAGGCCAGTCCGGACTCCAGGATCTGGGCACATTAAGGTAGGACCGCAGAGTCCCTCGGGCCCTCTGCCTCTCGCTCACCTGCCCGTAAGTGCGGCAGCGACCCTCGCAGCTTCTCTTTTCTGAAGGCCACAGCCAAGTCCGACCACAAGTAATATCAGCTTCGCAGGTGGCGAACCTGGAGGCGATGTGTGCAGAGAAGGTGGGTCAAGGCTTCGCAGCCGCAGCTAGTAATGTTGCGCGCTCCAAGCCTCGGCCTATCCAGGCACCGCGCTCAGATCCAGACCCTGCCTCTTTGGACCTCGCCTCACCCCCCCCCCCGCCTTCCTTCCTTTATTATTTATTTTTCTAATGAACCGCCTTTATTTATTTAGCTATACTGGGGACTGAACCCAGGAACCTGCCATTGCTAAGTAGGCGCTCTGCCCGAGCTGCATCCCCAACCGCCTGGTCCCATAGTTTATCATCTTTCTGTGCACATACCCAGAGCCATGTTTCAACTGCCTTCATCTCTGAAGACCTCAGACCCTCTGCTCCAGCCAGCCCCTCTAGTTCCCATCCTTTTCAATCAGGAAGTACTGCCCCTAAAAAACTCCAGGTCCATCAGAGGCCATGACCCATAGCCATCTTAAAAACCAGAGAAGCCACAGGATTAGCCTCTTTCTGCCTGACTCTAAGCACTAGGCCTCATCCTTCAGACTTTGGTCCAGTTAGGGGCGGATCATGCCTCTCCAAATCCAAGACACACCAACCTGGTCCTATATCCCGCCCAAACAATAGGCCACGCCCCCAATGCCCCGCCTCTCCTACCAGTTCTGGCAGAGCTCCTCGCAGAGCGGCGGCGCCTGGCGTACCCCCAACAGCAGCAGGTGGAAGCGATTGCGGAGCGCGCGTTGGAGGTGTCCCAGGAAGGATTCGCATCTGGACATGGGGAGAGACAGGAAGGGGATGGGGCAGGATGCGCGCGGCGGAAGAGGGGTGGGATCTGGCCCCGGCAGGGGCATCTAGGCAGAGTTCACGAGGAAACGCTAGGGGGCGCGGCACTCACCCGGAGCTCGGCGTCCTGCAGCGCGGTGGGAAGATCCCAGGGCCTGATGTCTCTGGGGTGTCCATCTCTGAAGGACAACAAGGTTCTGGCAGTGGGAACGCCTGTGAGTCAGGGTCTTGGATCATCATGTAAGGTTGGGGACCTGAGGCCTGAAGATCCCCTAAACAAAGAAGACCATGATTGCATCACTTCTCCTAAACATAAAATTTAAGTAGGCGGAGACCGTGGTGGACGCCTGTAATCCCAGCGGCTCAGGAGGCTGAGGCAGGAGGATCGCGAGTTCCAAGCCAGCCTCAGCAATGGCGAAGCGCTATGCAACTCAGTGAAATCCTGTCTCTGTGTAAAATAAAAAATAGGGCTGGGAATGTGGGTCAGTGGTTGAGTGCCCCTGAGTTCAATCCCTGGGAAAGAAGAAGGAAAGGAAAGGAAAGGAAAGGAAAGGAAAGGAAAGGAAAGGAAAGGAAAGGAAAGGAAAGGAAAGGAAAGGAAAGGAAAGGAA